CTTGAGTGTGCCATGTAATATTGTCATGCACTCTCTCTCTTTCTATATATATATATATATATATATATATATATATATAAATAAATAAAATGTGTGTGTGTGGGGAAGTAGTGATGCTACAGCATTAGTATTTGAATAAATATTAAAATATATTTCAAATAATTTTTTTCACTATTCTTCGATTATGTTATTTTAAATACTGTATTTGACAACATATAGGTGTGCAAGATACACCCCAGTTTCAGCAGGGAAAATAAAGAAAAAAATGAGCAATTTGTAAAATTAATCGTAAATGGTTCAGCCTAGGCCATATTTATGGGGTATTATTTTGATTAAACAAGCCATGATTACAATTAAACAAAAAATAAGAAAAAAAAAAAAGAACACAAGCCTATAAAGACTTTATTATATCTAAAGGTAAGAAAACAAAATAAAAATCAAGCAATTATTACAATTGAGCAAAACAATACAGTTACCATTAAAATTTTATTCATCTTCAAATCCATAAAATTTGTCGCCTTTGTTATCAAAACTCTGATATTCATTTTCAATCCTACTATCATCGTTGTTAAATAATGTGTCAACATCCGTTTCATTGAGAACATTGCTAATGCTACACTTTTTTAAAAGATTTCACAACAATTTATGGTCTAATATTATCTCAAGCTTGTTTCATCCATTCGCAGACTTATGCAATACCTCGTCTTTTTATTCTTCCTGTAAGTGTAAGGTCATGATCAGGCGTTGCCATCCACGTTCCATTGCCCCTTCATGTTTAAGTCTAAGCTAATAGGAGTTGCCAGGTAGCTAATTTCGGTTGACTATTGCAAATTTTAAACCTACATATGGCATATAAGATGCAGGGGAATTTTAAAAGGTATTATTAGTTAGAAAAAAAAAAGTGTACCTTATATACAATCAAATACCATACTTTATTCATTTTTTAAAAAGTAATTTTTTTAAAAATTTTCCTTTATTTGAATAAATGAATATTAACCTATTTTTCATATAATTGTATTTAACATTCTTTGTTTAGTTCAAAATTTATGGTTTTCTATCATAACATTTAAATGTATACTCCTTAATACTTTTGCTAAATTTGCCATATTTTCTAGGTGTGCTGTTGCTTAAAAAGGTTGAGAAACTCTGGCCTAACCAATTTCATTTAGTTTTTTTTTCTTATATTTTTATTACTTGCTATTAAATATCCCACATTGTGATGATAGAAGATCTGCCAAGAAATATGAAATGTAAAAACCTGGACATTAATTTACTGTGAATGTTCTTGTGATTAAAGCCCTTTCTATACACTTCATCTTAGTAAATTGTTTTACCTTTTAATTAAAGTAGCTTTTTTAAAATTAAACATATACTCTCAATATATCTGTCCTATTGATACATTGAAGAATATGTCAACTGAATCTCCAGCAGAAGGATAAGAAAAACTGTAAATGAGCCACCTACTAGGTGAATACTTCCTTTTATATGTGCCGTGTCCCTTCAGGATATGGGTGATCATAGCTCTCCACAAGCTCCTATCCCTTGTAACTCTTATCAATGTTTGTCTCTTTGCTGAGGCTCTCCTTTCCTGTTCTCTCATCAATTCATATAAACTGATTTTTTTTTTTTTTTTTTTTGTACCTTTTTTTGCTTTAGATATGGCCTGTGAGTGCCAAATTCTCCAAGCCTTCTTTTCTAATGTGTTCAAGAAATTTCAATAGTCTCTCATTATTCGTATTGCTTACAAACTTAAGATCACTGATTTAAATGATCAATATTCAACAGTTTCTGAAAAAAAGTAAATGTTTATAGACTCCAATATAAATGACCCATGTTTACCTACTCTAGAACTAAGTAAATGCTTATAGACTCAAGTATAATTTTATGTGGAATTTTTTTTTTCGGGCAATCATTTGACATTTGG